AAATATTGTTGAAACCATGGCTTTGCTCACAGTTGTTGATTAATATGACTACATGTCTAATGTGAAGTTGAACTATTTAGTCAATGTTCAATATGGAAACCTGTTAATATGTTGTTCTTCAGTTGCTCAGCAGCTGATTAGAAAACATAACCATATCATCAACCTGGAAAATAAGGAGATTGCTTTGAAAGCCTGCCCTGTTCCTTTGGAGACAGGAACAACATTTAAGGTAATGGCATCATCATGAAAGAAAAATATATCCAAATAATGTGAACTATTCTATACTGGTAACTGGACCTCCACTCATAGACAGCCTAAGTTCAATTGGCTTTGCTTAGCTCTACATAGATACAAAGACTCATGGTTGGGATATAGTACATGTAGGCTGAAGGGGTTCTCTCTTCTTTTTTCTAATCACATAGAAAGAAGGCAAGCTTTTTCTTAGAATTTTCATTTTTTCCCTAGATATGTACCTTTTCAGATGTTCATATCTAATTCAACCAAAAATACATACAGACATAACTGCCTCCTGATACTATGTTCTGTGGGTCAACCATTGGATTGAAAGCTTATTGGCAAAGATAGTCTGTAGGCCTAATTTAAAGACCATTTTATAAACATTCTCTGGTCTTTATTATAAAGAAGGAGTATACAGGCTTATTGAGTAAATTTCATTGGGCTATCAAGGATTTATCTTCTTGGCAACAATATAGAAATGGATTCCCACTGCCTTATTTCAGCATATTTTTTGACTTCCCACTCTAACCTACAGTTTTGATGGCATTAACCATGTCTGCTTCTGCTAGTATTTTCAAAGTCAGCATGGCAAACTTTGATTTTAACACATATTGTAGATGGAAATTCCATGGTTTAATGATGGTTTGTTGAATAAATCACTGCATATTTAATGCGAATGTGTTACAGAACCTGGAGGGGGAAAATTGTGCTAATTTCCTTAACTGTTCACTGGGCATGCATATCACATTGAGCTATAGTTGCATTATGCTTTGCTGAGTAACTACAATTTTAGCTTAGTATGTTGTACAAATCTTCACACTATCTCAATCCAACTGTTACATTTCTTTCTTCAAATCTTGAGGAATAATTTAACTCTTGACTATTGTAGTAAACTTGTATGCTTTGTATAGTTTAGCCTTTCCCAGCTTGGTATTCTCTTGTCCATAAGTCCCAAATTTCCAGCCAATGTGAGCAAAGAACTCTGGGAGAGCACCTTGGAAGAAACGCTAGCATAGATAATGAGAAAATGTTCTTCCCCACCAGAAATTGTGCTCTGATCATAACATGTTTTGAATAGTTGCACCTATGTATTTTTATGTGCATACTTTTGACACTGGCTTGCATTGTTTTTCCAGATTCATGTTAGGATCCTTCAAAGGGAGATTTGTGTTTCTAACATCCCAAATGTAAAAATTGCTGAGGAGTGGATGAAAGACAAATTGGAGCTCCTTTTCTGCAGAGCGAAACTGGGTGAAATTCAGAATATATTTTATGATCCACTCTCACAAAAGGCCATCGTTACCTTTTCTCAGCCTATAGGTAATTTCTGAATTACTCTGCCTGTTCATTTTTAGGATGTGGTCTGTAGTCCACCTTGTTTGTAGATCAACATTCCTCTCTTGGCCTCAAGCACATAGTTTTAGAACGGAGGCCACGATTCCCTTTGACTGGACCACGTGAGGTCAATTGGAAATTAGAAGTCATTCAACTGCATTGTTTTTATTTTGAAGATAACTGCTATTTTTTTTTTCCAATTTTTGTATGTGCTTGCATGCATGCCTACGCACCGTCACAGTCCCAGTTTCTCGTGTGGCCCTTTGGGAAAATTAATTGCCCAGCCCTTTCTTAGCAGAAACTAGCTACTTAAATCTTGTCCTAAGTCCAAGATGGTTTTGGGCTAGAAAGCACATGGATCACTATATAACAGTGATGGCGAACCTTTTAGAGACCGAGTGCCCGAACCGCAACCCAAAACCCACTTATTTATTGCAAAGTGCCAGGGCCGCATCAGCATTGTGGTTCCCTTAGGGAGGGTGGGGGTGGCCCACTGGGTGGGCGTGGCTAGGATGGTCACAGCAGACAGTGGGTGTGGCCAGGTAGGCATGGCCACCTCGATGCTCTAACATCGTGGTGGCCAACCTATGGCACGTGTGCCACAGGTGGCACGCGGAGCCGTTTCTGGTGGCATGCGAGCCATTGCTGGGCCGAGCTGCTCCCTCCTCCTCTCCGCGCATGCACAGTCTGGGAATAGGCGAGAGGCTATAAATGAGCAACTTTCGGCGGAAGCAGCATTTGCTGCAGACAGCGAGCGAGCACGAGCCGACAGCTCAGTGGCCACGCCCACTCGGTGACCATGCCCACCCGGCACCCGGCAATGCATAAATGAGTTTTGAGTTGCAGTTTGGGCACTCGGTCTCTAAAAGGTTCGCCACCACTGCTCTAACACCTCTACTCGAGCTTGCTAGCCGGCCGTTTTGCCTGCTTTGTGCTGGGTAAGGCTGCTGCTCCAGGTGGCGGCCTAATGGACCTGCACGAGTTGCTAGTGGTGGTGCGCGTGTCCACAGAAAGGGCTCTGAGTGCCGCCTCTGGCCCGTGTGCCATAGGTTCACCACCACTGCTACCTAAGATGACTTTTAAGGCTGACTGGGAAGAGTGCATTCCCTGAAGATCACCCTATTTTTAAACTCTACACAGTATTCTCCATCATTCTGTCTCAAATATTTCACTTGCACCCAGCCAGGCCATATTTATGGAAGTTCCAGTCTTATCAGCAAGTATTGCTCATTCTGTAAGCAGGTCTTTGGATGCAAAAAGATTTTACTCTCTACATTTGAATGTTCATCCCTCAGCTATATGCATTCTCTTCCCTTGGTACTTTTCAATAGCTGCAGCATGCCATTTTCTTCACTTAGAATGCCAAGTAGCCTTCCATAACTTGATTCTTTCCAGATGTTTTAGAAAGCACGTCACTACCAGCTGTTGCCGTCTGGCTAATGAATGTAGAAAATTATAATCTGTTTTATCTGAAGGTAGGTACCAGGTTGGAAAAAGCCAATTTAGGGAGAAAGTGTTTTAACTCTTGAAAGCAAGTGCTACACAAAATTTTCCTGTTAATGTTACATTTCAATTTGTTTACTTTGGATTAAATTCCACTGGACTTACTTACAGGTAGACCTATCTAGAATTGCACTACAGTATTATTATGCTGGAAACAAAGGCTTGTGACAAATATTTTATTCCTATAGTTGCCTTATAGCAGTGTTTCTCAACCTTGACAATTTTAAGGCATGTGGACTTCAACTCCCAGAATTCCACAGCCAGCAATGCTGGTTGAAGTCCACATGCCTTAAAATTGTCAAGGTTGAGAAACACTGCCTTATAGTCTTGTCCACTGGTGGCTTACATTGAAATAAACAACTTTTATGTCCCATAGTTAATGGAAAACTATCTACACTATTTAAATATATGTGGAACTCTTAATATTTAGGGTTTAATTTATTTAAATTTTAACCTGCCCTTTTCAGATGTGGACCTCTTCATATAACTCATTTTTTTAATTTTATTCTAGCTCTTAATAAAATAATAAGGTATGAACAATCCTGTATCAGTGTGTTTGGAAAGACCCATCTTCTCACTGTTTCACCTGTCATAAAAAGCGATGTGGAAAAAGTACAGGTAAATAATGGGGGAATAATCAAGCATGGCAAATATTCAGCAGCTGAATGAACCTGTTGTGCTAAGCTGTGGGTTATTGAATAAACCACAGTAAAGCAGAGTTATATATCACATTATATATGAGCCAGCAGTGTGCTACAACTGCCAAAAAAGCCAACACAGTGCTAGGCTGCATTAACAGAGGGATAGAATCAAGATCACGTGAAGCATTAATACCACTTTACAATGCCTTGGTAAGGCCACACTTGGAATACTGCATCCAGTTCTGGTCACCACGATGTAAAAAAGATGCTGAGACTCTAGAAAGAATACAGAGAAGAGCAACAAAGATGATTAGAGGTCTGGAGGCTAAAACATATAAGGAACGGTTGCTGGAATTGGGTATGTCTAGTTTAATGAAGAGAAGGACGAGGGGGGACAATATCTCAGGGGCTGCCACAAAGAAGACGGAGTCAAGCTATTCTCCAAAGCGCCTGAAGGCAGGACAAGAAGCAACGGATGGAAACTAATCAAGGAGAGAAGCAACCTAGAACTAAGGGGAAACTTCCTGACAGTTAGAACAATTAACCAGTGGAACAACCTGCCTCTAGAAGCGGTGAATGCTCCAACACTGGAAGTTTGTAAGAAGAGACTGGACAGCCATTTGTCTGAAATGGTATAGGGTTTCCTGCCTGAGCAGGGGGTTGGATATTATTATTATCATCATCATCATCATCATCATCATCATCATCATCATCATCATTGATTTTAAACTTGATTTAGAGTGGCCCACAACCACGTAGGTGTTGCCGCATAACTACACTGTGAAGGTATTGATGGGTAAGTGTAGGTTGCAAATAATTGCAGACAGGCTGATGTGCACACCTCCCAAATCCCAGTTGTGCACTGTAGAGGTGCACATCCTGTGTGCTGATTGTGCGATTCAACTTCCTGTTCTGTGCTTTGCTGTTTGAGAGATCCCTAGCCAGAACGTTAATATTCGCAGAAATATAAATGCAACATATGCAACGATCCTCATACGATAGAGGGGTACATGCTCTGATGGGCAGTGATGGAGAAATCTAATCCAGACTTTCCAAACTAGTGGCTGGGTTGATATAGCATGATACATTAAAATTAAAACTGCAGTTGATATGAGTCATTGAGTTCAAAGGGATTTCCTTTGGAATAAGGTTTACAATCTTTGTAATAGTTAATAAATTATTCCCCTACTTTCCAGATAATGTATACATTGTATTTCCAGCAGCTGGAAAATGTGTTCTATGGGTAAACAGTAGAACTGAGTTCTTCATATTAAATGTATGTAGAATGAAGTTAAATTTGCTTACATCAGTAATATCAACCATATGCTGTATATGGGCAGCAAAAATCTGGTAAATCGCTAGATGGGTTTTAAGTAACGTAAAACCTCTTTGCTGCCATCTACTGATCATCTCAAGTTTTACACTATAGATATGGCTGGGCCAATACTATCAAGCACTTATGGTGGTTTGATAATGGTTAGGTCTTTGTTTTCTTCCATTTAGTGAAGGTTGGTCTGTGTTGCATGTTGAATTAAATATTAAATATTTAATATTAAATATTAATATCTGACTATACCATTGTACTTTCTGCCACGCTGTTCTTTAACCAGTCTTTGTAGGTTACTACTTCCTAACCCAAAAAAGGCCATCATTTTGGGATTCTAGAAATGGGAATTGTACCCAGGGTTTGCCGTAGATTACAAAATCAGGTTTTCATACGTGAGCAACGTAATAGTGTGAAGTTCAGATAGTATGGTAAACTGTAACATGGTCAGTGGGTATCCACCCAATGGGAAATAAGAATGCGACATTTTGGCTTTGTGTATTGCTTTCGAAATGTGATGTTGGAAAAAGACTCTTGAGAGTCCCTTGGACTGCAAGGAGATCAAATTCAGTCGATCCTAAAGGAAATCAACCCTGACTGTTCTTTGGAAGGACAGATACCGAAGCTCAAATGAGAAGAGCAGACGCCTTGGCGAAGACTCTGATGTTGGGAGAAATTGAAGGCAAAAGGAGAAGGAGACGGCAGAGGATGGGATGGTTAGATGGGATCATTCATGCAAAGAACATGAATTTGGGCAGTCTCTGGGAGACAGTAGAGGATGGGGGGAGGGGCTGGCGTGCCATGGTCCATGGGTTCGCAAACAGTTGGACAAGACTTAGCGACTGAACAACAAAAGCTTTTTATTTGCAAACATAGCTTGAGTGTTTGCAGTGTCTTTATTTGGGTCAGAATAAAGTTGTAACAAGAAGAAACATGCTGATGATCACATCAGACTCAAAAGGGGAAATGTGCTGTGACCCGGATGGAGATTCCTTGCCAATCTTGTTTTCATTAGGGTCACAGCAGGGGAGCAAATGCTTCATTTCCCAGCCTTTCCCTGCTGTGCTCCTGTAATACATGGGTATTTTAGAAAGGGCATGTAGGGTGCAGCTGCCATGCCCAGCCTCACATTTTGTTGGTTCTTGAACAGTGTATTTATGTTGTAATTGGTAAAAAAAAAAAAAATAACAAAAGGGTGTAGTTATCTCTTAGTGGCGGTGCTTTCAATATTAGCTTTCTCTAAGGAGGACTATGGAGGTAACATATGGTATGCTTTTTTGTGTGTGTGTGTGTGTGCCAGATGTTTTCAGGAACTTCCAGGAAAACTGTACTGTTAACAGGAATCGACGTAGACCAGAAAGATGAGGAGAATGTGGGAGACATGATCGAAATTCACTTCCAGAAACCTAGCAATGGAGGTGGTGAAGTGGATCAAGTGACCTATATTCCCAAAGGAACAAAAACTGCCTATTTTGAGCTAGATGAAGCAGATTTGATAGGAGATTATTGAAGATGTAGCTGGCTCAAGATTCCAATTATGCCAAGAGCAATTGAAGAGTGAAACCGCTGTTGTTGAGGAATGAGGCTGCCTGTAACGTAGGGGCAGAACCACCCTCAAAGTCCCGTTTAAAGCTATGATCCATTAAAAAGCCTCCTTGTTTCAGTTGTTTTTTTTTAAATGTTAAAATCGGTGAGACTTAAGTTGTGATCTCATCACAACTCGCATCAATGCTTATAGCACAAATAGTCAATAACAACTGCATTTAGCACAATCGTATGATGGCAATTTCTGTGGCCTAGGAATAAAGGTGACTTTATGCTCTACGAGTTACAGATCTGTCACGTGTCTTTTGCATTATTGAAAACATAAATGAGACTTTATCTTGAATCACCTGTGTTCTATCTAGTCCTACAAATGTCCAATAATCACAAGTGAGATCATTGAGTCTGTTTTACAAAGCACCTGCTGTATGTTTCCTGGGAAATCTCAGTCCTATTTTTTAAACCTGTTCTACAAAACCAATTGGGAAATATGAAGAGCTGACACTGAAGTTTGAAGTTGAAGTTTATTGTATTTATATCCCGCCCTTCTCCTGGTGGACTCAGGGCGGCTTACAGCCAGTTAAAAAACAGAACAATTGGTACAAATATACAAAATTTAAAATAAATTAAAAGATATATTTAAATAGGCCTTTTTCTTATTTTAAAAGTTGATTAAAATCCAATTTAAAATATCCCTAGGCCAGTCCTGC